TCAATACATATGTAAGTCATGTCTCAAGAATAAAGACGTCAGTAGCGGAAATCACCAATGAACAGAAACCTAATAATTTTAAGATTAGTCAATAACGTAGAATTTCAAGATTAGTCCTTATTAGTAAAAGAAAAAGGTAGCCGGCCCTTCAACCGTAATAGGATGCGCCATGCACTTTACTTAAACATAATCAGAGTGGCAGTTTGAATGCGATTTAGTCTACATAACTGACTGACTACTAAATGATAAGTACAAATAACTTGCAGGGGCTAGGCGATACCATCAGTCATCACAAGAATGGTAATGTGGGCAAAACTTTGCCCGGACCAGAGTCTCTTGTTTTCCGGGCAAGTGTGCTACCAGTTACACTCACCACCGGGCCACCATTTCACCAAAAAACCAATGTCAAACAGGAGTTATCCAATAAAAAACAAGTTGAAAGGTGATTCAGTGTTTTCATCTCCCAGAGAAGTATGGGACAAATCAACCGATCCGATGCAGTATAAGGCTTGGTTGGCCTGGGCAGCATCACGACCGGAGGATTTGATCCCCGGACCGGGCGCGAGGTAAGCAACGTCCACTTGCCCTCCACCACCTCCGTCACAACCAATTGCTAATATGTATGTATCCCTAAGGAACTGAAGAAGAAAATGTTGGCAGTCGTCCATCTTTTTGCCTTCGATACCGTTAAGAAGCACTCGAAAGTGATAAATTCCCACCGGTTCCTCCCCCCCCTCCCCAATTTCCCAATTTTCCGATAATAAACCTTACAGTAGGAAAAATAATCCCCCATCAGCGAGAAGAATAATGTTTCATCATTAAAGTTCCCCAGGTGAACGATTTACTAGAAAAGATGGCGTTTTACTGTTACTGAAGACTCATGGCTGGCTTTACAATGGATATATGGATTAAACGTTGATTCCATTAGCCATCCTAGACAGAACAACCTTATTGTTAGTATAAGAAAAAGTAATCCCCTGTAAACAACAAGAAAAACAATTTAACTGCCCATTAGGCAACCAAGATCAAACCAGAACAAGCAGCATTTTTCAAAGTAAAATAGATTGAAAAATAAACAGTCTGATTACTCTGAACTTCTCAGAAACATATCACATGGATCAGAATATTATGGCAAAAACTTCAGCTAAGTACAGGGGTGGCCAAAAAGAGATACTTCACTCCTCATGAAGCATTAATCACACCTTTCTAAACTCTAACCGACTGCTCCAAAATTATCGTTAGTAATGAAGAGCACATTCCAGTCTATCAATAAAGATTGTACCAAGGGCCTCACAATTTGCCATGGGAAAATTGGCGCGGTTCGAGCTCAACTGGTTCTCGACGGGTCACGTACCTTGCGACGTGATCTGAGCTGGTCGGAAGGGTCTTGCATATTTAGGTTCTACTGTCCCTACGAAGCAATATGTCAGTGAACCGATCAAACAAATTTCGTAGCAGCTTCAGGATGATGATATTACGGTAGGCATGAAAGGGGGCCTGCTTCTAAACTTATGAGCCAAACACCCAATAGAGTTCCATCAACAGCGGCACCCTTCGCGACGAAAACTTTGATGGCGTGCGCTATGGGCAAAGTGTCTCTTTTTTGGCCACCCCTGTATTGCGCACCGCAGGCTTTCCGCCTTTTTTCGAATATTCCTAGTTGTTTACAAGAGTTTGGTGAATTCAACATCAGGTCGATTGCTTTGTTACTAGTATTATTACAGTTCTTGTTTGAGAAATCCTTTTATCTCATGCTAGATTACTTCTTTTTCATGGCATGTTTTTAAGCACAAAATAAATGAAAAATAAACAAATAAAATTTTGTTTTAGAATAAGATTCAATCAAGTCACTCTAATTTGTTAACGGATACTTACTAATTGTCTGTAGGTCTCATTATAGGCGAGATCTGAAGGTTCATGGGCGAGAAACATGCGTGTCACATTGTCCACCTCCACATCAATCCAAAGCCATCGGAACTCAGCCCATTTTGAGCCGTTGAAGATGAGCGCAGCGGCGGCGATCGCCAACAGTGGAGAGAACGGCCGAGATGGTGCATGGATTGACGATAACGGTCGAAGGATGGCCTGAAATGCAAAATGAGAGAGTTATTGGCGCTATCACAAGATGCGGGGGCATAGTGCAGTGCATTTGAAAACGCGTGAAAAATCTTTTATGCTAAAAACTGGACTAAGTCTCGAGCGGGGGAGGGGAGACTCTAGAGTGCAGTTTAGCAATTTTCTTTTCCCCGTAGTTCCTGTCCTTTCTTACGTCTAGTCCTTGAAGGATGCCCCCTATCTTGCGATAGCGCCGATTTGTTATTACCCTTTTAGTATGCGTCGGACGGGAGCTAGGCGTTGAAAACCGAATCCCTGATCGAGTCTAGACTATTTGCCACTTCATACATTTTCTTCGGGATAGCGCTTCTCCGAGAAGATTCATTGAATCTCCGTTATAACCGTTTTTTGGCCACTTCTTTAGGCAACGCAAAGGCAATTAGCGCGATAAATGGTTTCACGACCAAAACGGCCAATGAAGCCCTCAAGTCGCCTTAATCAGATTTGGATCCTCTCAATAGTTCCCAGCTAAAGAAAGAGCGAAAAGGTTATGGTGAATCGACCATTGTGAAAACTTCCGTTATTCTTTCAGGCGGAATTGTTAATGATGGAGTTCCTAACACTTTGTTTGCTCGCTCATCCTGAGAAAGTCAAGAGCAGAGCCAACCATAGCACCTGAGAAACTTCGAATCTCTACATACAGAATCTACTCCTTCCTCACTGCCTAGGTTGCTTGTTGTCAATAGATCCATCTGACTTGGTTCGATCTACGCACTTGCAACCTTCCTCTCCTCCGCGCACAGGTCAAACACAAGGCAAACCCCGGGATGAGCCCTACTAGTAGGAGCCACGTCGCGGGTAAACGGGTTGGGTCCGAACCGAAAGGTGCCGTGCCAGCTACGCTGCACAAAATGCGTAGTTAGGGCGCTAGTCGTTCCGGACTTGGACTGCTCTTTTTTCAATTTTACTGACTTTCAGTTTTACTTTGCTTAATACTAGTATTTAGTTCAAGTCGTTTCCTCTCCTCCCTTACTGATGAGCACAGCGAGGGGATATGCTTGAACTTTTGGCTTCCGTCTAAGAGCCCGTGCGAAACGGAAGCCAGACTGACTCTCTGTGAGCCCCCCTATTATTTCACTACATTTGAGTTCTTATAACATTTTTTAGTTTCCATCCACCGCGATTAATGTGGAGATCAGCGCGCTCTCTTTTACGGTATGCTCTCTCGCGTTTTTGTCTTCTCATGGCGTATTGCCTCTTCGTCGGACCCCATTCGACTTTACTGGGGGTTAGGGCCCTTAGTTAGGAATTCGATGATTTATCTTGCTTTCCTTACCACTTTCAGGCCACAGCCCTGCTCAGTCATCACAATGAAGCGCTTCAATGTACTAGATTTAGACCGGGGCTTGCTTTTAAACACTGCTGCAATATTGCATGAAAGTTGGAAGTCCAAAATGATCAAACCCTTCAAGAATCACTGAGCCGAAAGCTCAAAAAACGGCACCACTCTGTAAGCTCCCTCCCCCAAAGGTGGTCCCCGGGGACTGCGATGTTAATTTTTGCTGACGCTCAACTTTCAGTTGGCATGTGCGTTTTGGACTAAGCGGTCGTACCTCGTAATTTTACCGCCTTCACAATCTATCAGGGCACATAAACGTGAACGGTCAACGTCTCAGAGCTAACTCGTCCAAATTTAACGGACGGAATAAGGGCTGTTCACGGATGTTCGACGGCTCATTCAGTGATTTTCTCCACCACGGCACAATTTTTCACCGCTGCTTTCTTATTTGCTCACCACAATATTATATTATCGTAGTTATTGCATTCAACCGCGTTATAACCGCCCTGACTGGGAAGGTGAATTCAAACAGGTGAAGGAAAAAATGAACAAACCTTATGGCGTTTTACTGAGATGTAACAGATCGTCCAAATACTCGCACAATTGAAAGCTAATAATAGAGGTGACAGCAGACCTGTCGATAAGTAGGCTATTTGTCCTGAAAAGAATTCGATTTTTGTCCATCCGGTGAATTTTGAAATTCTGACTGAATAAAGAATTCTAAATCCAAGAATTGAGGACACAACACCCAAGGACCGCTTGGGTTCGCGTACAGCTTCGACAGAGTCTCTACTATTTGCGCACACCCGCGAATCAGTGCTGAAATCTTAGAAGCCATACCTAAGGCACCGAAGCGTTCGGCGTTAGTGAAGTCGTGAAGTGCTGGAATGAATAGCACGAATACTGTAAGTGTGAGCTTACAGTAGGTCACACACAGAGAGCACGATGAGAGCCGGCACTAGTGGATGAGTCCGAAGTGAGACAAACACCAGTAAGCAGCACACGTTCAATATTACACCTAAATTTGTTAAAGTTTTTTTTTACAAAAAGACGATCCATTTTTATTGACATTAGTAAGGCATAGAGTGAAATGGAGTTTGGGGCCGCACTCACTTGCTAAGCTTATCCTTATCGTTAGTGCTTGAAAGCAATTTCCCGATTTTTCTACCCCGGTAACACAAGATAAGAGTATGCGTGAAGAGCTCATTTGAAGTGTGCTTTTGATAAAGACCAGTGAGTGTCTTTCATGACAACCACCTTGCCCCCATCCCACCCAATTTTTTGCACCTGTTCATCCTCCTCGGAACCCCTCACTTAGGTTTAGGCAAAAAGCGTCCATCTCTGCTCGCCAAGGATACGTTCCCTCGGACCATAGGCAAAGTGAAAATATGGGTTATACCTCAGGATTTCTTTCTCATTACACTTCATAGATTAATGGTCCTTCCTGGCTACAAACCGCTTTCAGGGACATTCTTCTGCTCTCAGACTTCTGGGCCAGTAACAACAAGGGGGAAAAACTTGTCGAGGAAGTTTGAGTCAGTACTGCTTCTTCCCTACCACTGTGATATAGACGATCCCCTCCCATCTTCTATAATTCACGACCTCAACCGTGTTGCTGATTCTCGTGTTACGTGGCCCATCTCCAACTCTATCTCTCCCTCCCCCCCGAAACTCCTTCCTAAACCGAAATTGGCGTCGGGATATGTAACCACTGGGACAAGAAGGATACCTTGCCGCTATTTCTCACTGTTCCGAATACGCTATATACTCAAATGCCCCCACTGCTCCAAATACCTTTGCCCTCCTTCGGCCAAAGAAAATATGACCCCCTACCGAGGGATCCTCGATCGTTGGTCGCCCTAGTTACAGGCTCTGTTAGATAGGTATTGATCGTTACCTACCCCCAAAGACTTTTTCCCCTCACTAGGGCCATGTAACTATTCAGTTCTACAATAATGCTGGGTTGTGAACAAAACTTTCGCCCCAGGCGGGACTAGAACCCGCACCTCTCGCTTTCCGGGCAAGTGCGCTACCAGTTACGCTACCGGGCACCATTTCATCCCAACTCAGCTTTCTTGCTCAGTTTTTCTTTTTTTTTGATTATCATGAAATCTTGATACAGATATCTAGAAAAAAGGAAGCAAGGAAACAGTTTTTGGTGACGATCAGCATCAAAATAGGTCAACAAGGCAACTCGTCCATATGATGGATAGCCACGCCCACTTACCAACTAGGCACACCATTGGGTGAATCCACAAATCCAATATACATCCACATCGCCGCCAATTGTCCTCTTCATGCCAACACATCGCCCTGTCTGAAAATTTCATGATAGAAACTCTGAAGCAGTTAATAACCACGATGACGCTTTAACGATACATTCCGCTATGACGTCGAAAAGCTTGGTAAAACAAAAATAACAAGGAAGGAAAAAACGGCTACAGAAAGTCGATAAATATGACAAGGAAGTCAGTGTGAATGACAGCGAAAAGGCTCTGTTGTGCGGAGGCAAATCAACAAAGACCTGGAGCCTTTTCACTAAGGTCGAGGGGGAGGGGAAGGGAGGTGCCATGTCGTGCGATGGTTTGTGAGGCCTACACTAATCCCAATTTTTACATGGCAGAGAGCCCGAAGTGCTTGGGTCATTTTGCTTCCGCTTCTGAACCCACCTCGCAATTTTCTCTCCCTCTAAAGATTGGGTTTACTGTAGGCAGCACAAATGTTGCCCCTCATGCCCCCTTTATTGTATTAGACCGAGACTTATGCTATCAAACGCACTCCCTCGTCCTCCCAAAAAAGTGGGCGTGTTCGGGATGCGTGTCAGATGTTCGTGTTGGAACGACGAACATATGCACGAGGCATGACGTTCCTTAATTGCAATGTGTCGTCACTTATTTAGGTATTAGCACTGCTCTCATGCGCGGATCAATAAGTCGAAGATTGAGAGGCTATTTCTGCTTAGTCTTAGTAAAGGATAAAAGGATAAAGCATTTGCCGTTGATCAATCCCTTTTTGGGATGCGGCACGCATTCTACTTCCATTTGTACATTCGTAGTGGCGTTTGAATGCGATGTGGCCTATACAATGACTTGCGGGGGCCAGCCGATGTACAAGTCAGTGTTTTTATCCTCCCAGACAAGTCTGGTACCAATTACCCCGGAGGGATGGAAGGCTTGGTTGGCCCGGGCGACTCACGACCCAGGATTTGATCCCCGGACCGCTCGCGTGGTAAGCGTGCCACTTGCCACTACACCACTTCCGCCCTTAGATTGTAGTAAATAACTAAAATAGCCCGATTTTACTGTGAGTAACCATCGTACTGTCCAAGTTCGACTTTGTATAAATCTTGGCATAGTCGAGAATATGAGAGCGCGGTTGCTTAGCTTTTCTTTGTTTTGAGTGAAGGCATCAAAACGTCGACCTTATAAAAGTTACAGTCAATCTTGGTCAGAAGCTAAGTAACTACGCTCTCATATCCATCATACATATTAGTGACTCAGACAAATGGAATAATAATTAGTGGTAATCGCATAATACAACACTGTAATGTTGGTTTGAGTCATAAGTACTCGCATGTTAATTCACCAATTTTGTCCGGCAAAGCGCCCGGGACCTCCCTACATTGGCGTACTTCTTTCCCTTCTCCTCCACTCCTATCTCCTCGTTTTCCCTCTGCTGCCGCTAAGGCCGATGTCAGACTTTGCGAATCGCGCGATTCGCTAGCGTCTGCGGTCGCGTCGCGGCCAGTGAATCACTCAATTGGCTGGTACCGCAACGCGACCGCGGACGCTAGCGAATCGCTAGTAGCGAATCGCGATTCGCAAAGTCTGACATCGGCCTAACAGCATCACCTTGTCGAATGACCGAAAGTGTGCTAAGTGCGTGTTTATATAGCCGTTGGGGATGCTATCACAATCATGCCATTGCAAAACACTAATAGCTAAAGTCCTGTGAGCTACATGATTCTGTTAGCGGTTTGTTTATCCCATGAGCTTCCTTCTCACTCACTTCATTTTGCGGACGGACACACATACATACATACATACATACATACACACACACACACATACAGACATACAAACCGACACACAAAGTTAGCGCTTTATAAAATAGAAGGATAAGTCAGTCAGCGAATGAAATCCAACAAGTGGACAAACTAGGCAACTTCAACTGACGTAAAGTAGTGACATTGGAAACTAAGTAAACAAAACAACTAACAAGAACTTATTGATAACTTCGTATAAATCTCAGGCGGAGATGATGCAGCCTAATTACAGTTACCTAGCCTGTTAACAATCACGAAGCCATTAGGTCAACAAGATAGAATGCGGTAGCGAACGAAGAGCCGGCGTTAGACACGCACAGGCGCATACTATTGGTACGCTTCAAGCCTTATCGTTAGTGGCATTTACAAGCGATTCATTCCAATTCAAAGGCATGCTTGTAAAATCAAAGTGGTGTGGTGCTTGAACATGGATACGAAAGTATTAGGGCGAAATATGCCGACAGCAAAGAGAAATGAAAAGAATCTGTAGAAGACGCTTAGGTTAAGGGCTTACTCACCTTCCTTAATCGGCTGTGCTAAGGGAATGAGAGACTGAGCGCGGAGAGGAGAGTATGAGCGAGAGAGAGCTACAGATGAGAGAGCGTCAGCTGCGGACGGGGAGGGGTACCAGGCCAGAAGAGCTTATAGTGCGGCAATGAGGGCCAGAGCTTATGAGTAGTGACGCGAGTCGCCAGCGCGTACTGTAGCGACTTAGCGAGAAGTTGAATAGAATGTGTGATATATGTGATAGCACGCCCCACATCGCACAATACGTGCTGCGACTCGTCCGCTGACCTGTCCGTAGACCTCCAGTATCCGTACGGGGGCATTGCAGCTGCTGCAGCCAACTTTGAAAGACCCTAGCGCCCTTATGGGGTGATTTCCATCTGCAATTGTCGCGTTGTGAGTTACGAATCGAAGGGGATAGTTTACATAACTTCTGCTGGATTCATCCTTCAATGGCTTCTGGAGGGCTGACGATTTACAAGCACGCTTTACATTATAAACGAAGCAGCGATTACGATAAAAAGAAGGCACATTAGGGGAGCATATGCACCACACGAAGCAGTTACTTGGCAGCCAAGGAAGCGAGCCGTGGCGCTTGGTTGGGCTGAGCAGGGACTGAAAGCACTCCACATCAAAGCGATCCGCCTAAGTTTGCTTGTGATTTTGTACGAACGGCGTTCCAGCAGCGGCATTGGAAGCAACTCGAGCCGTGTTTCGGCACGATGCCACCAAACGCGTCACGATGAACTGTCACTTCCGTGGCAGCTGTTATTATTCATGAGTGACAAACGACGCGGCCAAAAAACGGCGGTCCCGCTTAGGTGTGTTATTTGACGGATTCTCTGCCTTTTTCGCCACTGGCGTACCATTGAGTACCACCACGTCTTCTCTAAACCGTTTTGAAAAAAAATCAATCGCTGCCCTCAAGCAAGCTGATAACTCGGAAGGATACAAGGGTTAGACGCCCGCAGTAGTTTAGAGGTCGACCGCAGGATTACTTGAGATCTGATAACGGCTTAACCCCCGAATTGTGCACTGGATGGGGGGGTAGTGGCCAAACTTCTCTGTTGCCCATGCCCAAGCCATGCTTCAGGCTTTAGACGGGCATCTTCACGATCGTTGTTTACTTCTAGGGCGGAATTTGGCCCTAGAAATTTATTGCCTATTTTTGGCGCTTTGCAAAGAAGCCGATCACCGAGATTGAATAATAGCAAAAACTAAAATTGAGATGATCAAACGTTAGAAAAGGGTGGCGACAAGGTTGCGAGGTGTTCGTCGCCAACTGACTCATTCTTGTTTTGAGTCTATTGCGACATTCTTTCTCATCAATAGTCGTCAACCCTTTCATAATTTCATTATTGATGAAGAACACATTGTTTTCCTAATCCGATAATGTATCCGGACCACATTGGAACACGAAGCATACCAAATCTAAGCAAACACGTATTCTGTGTGCGTAAGTGTGGCACGATGTCGTGGCACACAGTCGCCAATGTTTTGATGACTTTGAGACTTGTTCTACGGCGACCCCCCCGTTAGGTACCACAGGTACACTTTGTATATCAAATACCGTATTAAAACTGAATGGCCTCCTGGAGCTTCTGAACTTTCACAATTTATTGGTAAGCTTACGGCAGTAATACCATCATCAGAGTAACCCTAGATTACCATACTTGAAACTGAAAAACGCTCTAATTTGAATAGAATTTTGTACTATGATAATATGATAATGATATAATGATAAGAATGATCATATGATAATTTAATATGAACAAGCTTAATGACGTTCTCCTTGAACCGCTCACACAAACATGGTATTTCTAGTTTCAAGACCCCTCTCAGCCCATGCCACCCCGCTGCAGTGGTCACGTGGACCTCGGAGGGTTGGCGGAGCTACTGCGCTGGTATCCGTAGCAGGGTCTGTTCTATCGTTGTCACTTTGCGCCGAAGACTGCTTCTTCTCTACTCATAGGCTCCACCAGCCATCTTTCTCCACCCGTGACCGCTTAATTCAGGTCCTTTATTTATTTATTTATTTATTTATAACGTTGTGCATAAGGCAAACGCAAGACATATGAAATCATACAACTCACGACCGTAGTTAACGATAGTTCAGTAAATGTTAAAGCTCACTAAAGCTATCACTACTGTAGTTTTAAGAGAAGTGAATTCAGATCCTGCACGACAAGCAAAGCTATAACGTTTTAGATTCGTTTTAGGAGTGGCATAGGATATTTTTACTGACCACCCTCTAGTTCTAGAGTTGACCAGACCAAAGAATTTGGAAGCATCAATTTTGGCAATACCAGACAACAACTTAAAGACCATGCAGACATCAAAATATTTCCTACGAGAGCAAAGCGAATGTAAATGGTAATCTCGATTCCTGCGAGACACATGAAGTAGTCTAGAATAATCGAATTCCCCTGATCTGATAAATATTTTCCGGGTGAAATTATTTTGGATTTTTTCAACTAATTGAATATCCTTCTTCTTATAAGGACAAAAGACCGATGTCCCACACTCCGCAATCCATTATGCAACTCTTGACATCTTTATATCTTTTATTTTATAAGACAGGTTTCTAATTCATAAATTCTGTCAGTTATCATCCATATATTACATTTTTCCACTTTTACTATTGTCATGTGTTTCAAATGATTATATAATATATTCCTGTACTTTATTTGTAAACAATAGCTAAATAAATAAAAGAAAGACCGAGAAGGGCCAGGAACACCGATAAG